AAAACATTTCTATATGTGATACGACACCAGAGTTCAGTTAGGTTTTTTCAAAATGCTGACACGCCGAGCTCAAAAGGTTCGCCATCACTGGTACTAGAGGCTCAGTGCATAAAATTTGTGCACTCGGGCGGGGGGGATTAGCGGTGGGGCGGCGTCCCTCAGTCCAGCCTGCGCCCTCTTGCAGTCTGGGAGCCCTTAAGGGATGTCAGTTAGATATCGGTAGCACTGCCGAGGAGGTGGAAGAGGCTCCCACCACTGCGGCTGCACTCACCAGCCATGAGCTGGGCTTCTGGCTGAGCAGCACTGCCCCTGTGGGAATGCACTGATCACCGGGGGCAGTTCCTGCATTGAGCATCTCCCCCAGGTGGTCAGTGCATGTCATAGCAACTAGTCTTTCAACCATTTGGTAGATTTACATACTAGCCTTTTATTATATATGACTAGAGACCCAGTGCACAAAATTCCTGCAAGAGTGGGCCTTCCTTTCTCCAGCTGCTGACACCAGCTTCCCTCTGGCACCCGGGACCCGTACTTCCTTTGTAGGCCCAGCTTCATCTGGAAGGTGGTCTGGAAGAACGTCCAGAAGGACATCTGGTCTAATTAGCATAATATACTTTTATTATTACAAATAAATAATAATACGCCATTACGCCATTCTTTTAAAATTGAAATCAAAATAATATATGTAGTAATAATAGCTAAAAGCCTCCTAAAAGACCACTTTCCCTCATTTTTATTTTATAACACTCTTTTGGATCATATAATATCTTACAAATAGCAAAGTGGCATTTAAAATATTTTATTTAATATAATAAACATTCACGTTAAAACTCTTAAATTTTTTAAAATTTGCATTCATATCATTTTATTATTTGTATTTTAAGACTCTTGAAGGACCATCAGCAGACCCACATGAGAGCCCTTTGAAAATTTTCAAGATTTCAGGCCACTAGAAAAAAATGCTGTATTTGCTAACTAAATAATTCCTATTACTTTCCCTTCACTTAGCCCATAAATGTATAAAATTGTTTATCCCATTTATTATCGGTATCCCACAATGGATAGGTATTAAAATAAACAAGCAAACTATATTTAAAAATTCAAGAATATATATTTTGAAAACTCAAGATAGCTTCTGGAAATAATGGAAATAGATTAGGAACAATTGCCAGATTCGTATTGCTTAGTTTTACAGAGAATGCATGCATGCACGTAGGTGTGTTTTAAATAAATTTGATTTTGTCACTTAATATTATTTCGTTCATTTGACTTGAAAAACAATATGTGTATTTTAAGACAAATTAAAAAATAAAAAGTGAGCTTTACTCTTGGTCTGTATAAAATCACCCTTCCATGTTTTCTCTAGCTACATGGTCAGAGTATTGTTATGCTGTATCCACCTGCAGCTGTAAAGAAACAAAGATAGTGGAGCATTTTATTGCCATGTCTCCAAGGACGAACAGAATGGCTGGCATGGAGTAAGAGATATGGGAATGTTTCTTCTATAAATTGAGAATGATTGCTGAAAATCAGTTTGCTTTTTATGAATTGGTTTACTTCAGATATATAAGATATTGTGAATAGTTTCCAGAAAAGCTGGGGAAATATCTACACCCTCAGCTGTTTGTTTGCTTGTTTGTTTGTTTGTTTTCTAATTGGTTCTGTGGTCAACTTTTCCAGTTATCATCTAAAATTGAAAGGTATATCCCTGGAGGGATAGCAGGGCAGTTTTCAAATAAATAGATACATTTGGACCAAGGTGGAAAAGGGGTAAAGCTCTCTTAAATATTTAAAATGTATATATGTAGAATAAATCAAATGCTTAAAACAGCATGATAAATTCTGTGGCTAGGGAAATACTTAGCACTATGATCGAACTTAAGTGTGTAGGATACAGAAATCTTCCTTCAGAAAATTCTATGTAGAATGAAGGCTGACAGGTGAAAAATAGTTCACCAAATGAAAATATCGGGAGTGGTTTAAGGAACAGAATTTTGAAGAGCCACAGGAAGGAGAACTTGTGGCACGTTACATTGAGCAGGAAATGAACTGGTGAGCAATAAATTTGGAGAGATAAACGGTCTGTGTGATCTAGGGATAGAAACCATGTCATAGAAGTTTGATTTTACAGTAATACTGAAGACAGGTTAATAGAGAATTTTAAGCATGAAAAGTAAATAATCAGAATTGAGTTTTAAAAAGGTTGCATTTGACAGGATGTAAAAAAAATGGTTCAGAGAAAGCAAGATTAGTGTTAGAGAAATATGTTAGGAAGATATTTTACTAATCCACTTTAGGGTGGAAAAATTCCCCTTCTCTTCCAGTTTCTTTGGCTTATCTAATAATTATATTTACATAAACAGATGAAAGGAGTGAACAAATGCAATATGTATTTACAGGGATCCCATAAACATGAGACTCAGAGAAATGACCAAAGCAGAAAGCTTTTTTACTGTTTAGAAACAAAAACAATAAATCTGTTGACAAGAATTGACAAGCAAAGGGACTTGGGCGTGGGCTAGTAAATTGATGAAGAAGTAACAAGGTTTGTTTATACAGACTTTTGGGGCCTAAATTCTCTATCTCTGGTGATAAAAATATTTTCTCCCCTCCTGGTACAAGGTGGGTACCATGAACATGGGAGCTCTATCTTCCTGATTTCAGGGTGACAAAGGAGTGTCCCTCCTACACCGCTAATCTCTCAAGTAACTTTAATTTAAATTAAACAATAGTAAAAGTGAAATATCTTGGGGTGGCATATTCCTCTCCTTTTTATACTCAGGTTAAAATTGTAACCTGAATTAGGGTGAAGACCATGGAAATGAGTGTAAATAGTTGGTCATAGTTTGAGCATTCAGACATAAGGTTGAGTGAGATACAGTTAAGGGACACAAATGTGCTCCAGGTCTTTCTTGTGAGCAGAGTGGTGTCATTCACTGAGATAGAAAACACACGAGGAATAGCTCATTTAACAAAAATGAAAAAAGATCAGCGATTCATTTTTTATACACACAAATATGCCTGTATAGAAACATAGATGTAGATGTCGGTATAAAATGAAGCTATTCACTTTGTCTAAAACCTATGCACAATTTTCTCAGCATTAAAAGAACATCGGAGGATATTTGGAATACTGCAAAAAATATGACGACCCAGTACTTATCCCTTTCCTATGTAGTGGTGGGATTTGAGCACATATATTTTGTAAGAGTTCTTCAGATGACTCTGATATCAAACAAGACCCGAAAATCATTGGAAACAAAAGAGAGATAATGGAAAGTGTGTGCACCTTGGAGTCAGGCGCACTTTAATTTGTATATATTGATGTTTTGGGTTTACATATTGTCTCTGGACATTCCATTCACACACCTGGCATACGAAGATAACAACGCATGATGAGATTATGCAGGTTTCTCATTTTGAGCAGTTAACTATATTAAAGACAAGAAATGTCACATAAAAATATATTTTTTAAAAAATAATGTATTAAATGAAAAGAATATAAAATGCCACATGGGAATTTTTTTTAACCTACAAAGGGGTGGCAAGAATAAATAAATACATTTAAAGAACTAGCAGATAATGGTGGTAGTTTTCATTTTTAGAGAGTAAGACTAAGTCCTTTCTCAATCAATAAGTTAATGTTTGTGATCTGAGGTTATTATGCTCTTAGCTATTTTATTTCTTATATTTTATTCTTTTTCTTTTCAGGTTGAAATAATATCTAGCTATTTCTAGTCTTCTTTGATATTTTTAAGTACATAAATTATTCTTAGAAAACTGTAATAAAAATCACTGATATCAAAAAGCTCAAATTATCATAATCTTGGCTTACATTCATAGAATAAATTTTTATTACAACTTTTAAAAGTTAATGTTTTTAATATATTTCTAGCCAATTTCATATTCATCATTATTTTTAAAACTCTCAATTCTCATCTCAATGACCATCATAAGGTGGAATTCTTAAAATAAACCCTATACCAGTTGTAATTATGGCCTATTTATGACAAAATATTAAAGTCACTGCATTGTATGTCTAGGTTTAGGACGAATGAATAACATATTGAATTCAGTATAATATCAAGGAAAATAACTTCAAAATGATTTCAATAAGTATAATAGCTATTTCATCTAAAATGTATTCTAACCTATGACTATAAAATATCTTTACAAATATGTCCATGCAAGCTCCAGAATAAATCTTTGCTGGAAACTTCTAAAGCGGTTTTATTTCACTAGAAGTTATAATATATTTTATTATTTTATTAAAAATCACATAAGTGATTGCATATTTTAAGAATTTTAATATATAAATTATTTCTCTTTTATGAATGCCATTTTCATCATTTACATTTTTGTTGTACAACTTGTAGCTAAATTGGAAAATATAAAAATTATTTAGATTTCAATTCAGATAAGTGTCTTAACTGTATTAGAATTTGTATATTTTTCAAAAAAGTAATTTCTTAAATTGTGTTTAATTGTTTCTACAGATGGCTTCCTTGAATATTGGGAGAGCAGGTGCCTGTGTAGTAGTCATCAAGCAACCTTGACTTATTTTTATTTGGAGAGATTTTATTTGCTGGAGTAGTTATTTTTATATCAGAGGGCAAGAATAAGAATTTCCTGAGATGTGAACTCTTCAAGAACAAGGATTTCTGCAGATTCACCTACTGATGTCAATTGAGGTAGAAGATCAAACAGAAAACAAACTGCTATGGGAACAACATCTGGCCATGTATTAGCTCAGGAATGGTCATTGGTAATTTGTTTTGTATTGTAGCATACAATAGCTGGAGTTACCAAAGGCTTGTTTTTCTTGAGCAATTAAAAGGAGAAACCAATATGTGTGACATGGATAATTTCATTATTTATAATTGCTTGATAATATCTGACAATATTCAAGAGGTTGCCCACTGTAGAAGACATGATATTTCCATCTGACAGAATCTGATTGGTTTACTGTTCTCCTAATCAGATATGGTCAGACCAGGAGGCAGAATTATGTTTTATAAAAACAAACATGTGTCTTCCTCATTTTCCTAACCTAACCTACAAGGATAATTAGAGAAACAGATTCATGCTTGGCTCAGACATTCAGAAGACAAACTGTCCTGCTAATCAAAGCTGAATATACCATCAGAAGCGATGGTTAGTTTTTATTGCAACTGTATTAGTGACTTGAAGCTGGCAGGCAAAAAGGGTTGTTTCATTAGGCTATCACATTGCTTCGCTTTTTGACTACAATGAGCCAAAGTATCAGTGCAATTACGGGCTTTTGCCTTATGTTGAGGTCGTAAGCATGGAAGCTAGTTATTCTGGGTGTTATTTATATATATATATCCATTGCATGTTGAAGTCCTTTAGAATTTTCTTTATAAAAAACAACAACTTAGAATTTTGAGACAGAAATCTAGGATCAATTCATTTGAAGTGTTAATAATCATTGTTAGAATGAAGGCAGACTTCAGATTTTCATTCCCCACTTTTCAAACTTGTTACATTGATATGCATATTATTTTATGCCAAATGTTTGGCATTGTTTACGGCATAAAGTGGAAACATTACACAATGTCTTTAATAGATCCATGTAAATTTTAAATACAATTAATAAATGATAGAAAATTTGCTTTTATCAGTGTATCATTCTTCAATCAAGAAAGATAGGCAATTTTTATTGTTTAACTTTTCAAAATTCAAGAAGTTTATATCTCCATCTAACATGTTTATTTCCTCCTAAATGCTATGCTTACAAAAATGCAAGCTTTTTTTTTTTTTAATTCTGACCCAGGATACGTTATTATTGGTTTTAGAGAGAGAGGAAGGGAGAGAGAAAGAGAGAGAAACATCTATGTGAGAAACAAATTCATTGCCTCTCAACTGGGAATTAAACGTACAACCTGGGTATGTGCCTTAATTGGGAATTAAGCTCACGACCTTTTGGTGTATGGGACAATTATGCTCTAACCAACTGTGCCACACCAGCTAGGGCTACAAAAATGCTAACTTTAATTATTGTTTTCTTCTGTAGTTACTCACTTGAAGCAGGTTAGTATTATTTTCCAGCATTGGTGCTTAGAAAAGACACATCCCATAATGAGACTGCTGATAATTGTGCAGGATCTAAAAAAGGCAAGAAAATCCCTCTTTTTAAATCAATATAACCATGGCATTGAGTTATACTATTGAGTAGTAAAATGTGTCGAAATCCAATAACCAAAGAAAATATTGATGAATAGTTTGTATTTTGTGTCAAGAAGCTATTAGTAAATTTGATATTTCCCAACATGTATATGTAGTCAATTTTTTAGTCACTTTTTTTTTTCAGAAAAGCAATGTCATTATAAGTATGAGATACTAAGAAAGTATCAATGATTTTTTAAAATATATATATGTCCTGGTTGGGTGGCTCAGTTGGTTGGAGAGTCATCTCTCATACACCAAAATGTTTGTGGGTTCAATTCCTGGACAAGTACATACCTAGGTTGTGGGTGAGAGCCCGAATCCTGGCACATATGGGGCTCAACCAATCTCTCTCTCTCTCTCTCATCAAAAAACATATCAT